GCAGGTGTATGGCCAAAATCGTGCGCTGTATAACTGAGCTTCCAAGGCTCATGGGGTCAAAATAGGGTCAAAATATCTGGTCCCATGTCACATTATAGTATGTGTTAATCTAGCCTAGCAGATTCTAATCTAATCACAGCTCTTCGGGATCAGCATTTTTTTTTCAGTAAGTTATTATGTGATGTCAAAGAGAAGACAACAACCACATTAGAGATGTTGTACAACTACTTATCCAATAAGCCATTGTCCCCACTACAGGTTCTTTGGAAGTGGGTGGGAAGGCTGTTATTTTAATTCAGAATACAAAATACACATGGGCCAACTAGATTAGGAAAGGGATATTACACATCATCCAATAACTAAGTCAACCTAATTTTGAAAGCTAACAAATAGAGGCAAAAGCCATCTACTCTTATCTATCATAAATATATTTCAAACGCTATCTAAAATTTTGCTAACACAGTCAACCTAGGTTCCACACAATTATACAAATGCTATTTAATAACCTGGCATAGTTGCTAAGCAGTGACTGCTTTATCAGACTATAAGAAATATGAGAATGAAAGCAAAGCTCCAATAGACTAGTCCCCTTCTTTAATTATATACAGACACTCATTATTTAAGAATGATCATTCATCTTTAAGGAATTTGCTTTTTTCCTCTTCCCCGCTCATGCTATTTTCTTTTGGTGGCATGTTGTTTCATCTTTTTTCATGGATCATATACGCTTTCCTGTTATTCTTCAAAAATCTGAATGAAAAACTGTTGCAAATAATTTAGCAAGCCCTTGTTAGGATCTACACTAACCGATATCTATCCTTGTTTAAAGGAATACAAAGTGATTTAGGATTCACAGTTCTCACTTACCCAAGGTAGATGTAAGTGAAGAGAAATAAAAGCATCAGCGATGAAAGAATCAGCCACCCATGAATGAACTGCAAAAGATGAGAATATGCTATTTAGGTGTCTTTCTTGCACATTCGGAAGATAACTACATTGACCTGGTTTTGCTATAGCTCTCTCTTCAATTCTGTTACAGGAAGCCTTCCCAGCACATGCTAGTATATCTGACAGAGAGGGGAAGGCTTCCTTAGGAAGACAAAAAAGAGTAAAGACGACTTCAAACTCTAAATGAAAGTCAAAAAATTCATAGGAAGTTAGAAAAAAGGTTTTTACTGCAAAATACCAAAAGCTTTTCAGGGAAAAATTACTTCCGAGGGACCGTCTATTTGTGCAACTCTGACAAAAGTAAAAAGCTTGATTTCCCCTTCATTTATTTTGCCAACTAATTGATCTTTAAAGTTACCCTGGGGCCTGTCAAACAGTCCTCTGTCCCAAATGTCTAGTACATTCTCCTTCTCTACACCTGCCCCTCTCTAAAATGTCTGGTTTTTGAATATTCTCTGATCACGATATCAGCCTCTTATTTAATGATAAAACTATAAAAAGATCTTACTTGTTTACAGTTTGAATAATTTAAAATATTGAAAAATAACACTGAGGTTCTTCTAAATCCTGCAAAATTCTTTAAAATATTACAATTCCGCAGTCAACATTTTTTAAAGGTGTGACAATAACACTTCTAAATATATCCAATCCATGAAAAAATGCAGACTAATTGCCTACAATGACGTGGCAAATGTATACTATAAGAATCACTGAGGATCAGGCATAAAGAATGTTGATAACCATGAAGTGAAGGCATCTGATAGAATTAACTAAAAGGCTTTTATAATTTGATGCCTTTTTAGCATATTCAAAGCCTTGCCTTATAGCAACGATATTTGTACAGCAAAACCAAAAAGATGGTCATCACTAGAATAACACTGATCATGATGATGGTATTCAACACAGAACTCAGGAGACGCTGGCCCACATAGGGGGTATCTTCACTGAATGGGGTATAAATCCTGAAAGAAAAGGCAAAATATCTTAATAGAAGAAGCTCACTGACTATCAAGTCAAAACCCAATTCCCTCCAAAACGTATGTATTACAAAATGCCAATCCTTAACTCAAACACAGAGGCAACAGAAACAAGACGTTTATAAAATAGGAAAGGTAGCTTTTGGATTTATCGTATCTTTAGCTACAGTACCATCTCCCAATCAAGGTATGCTGGGCTTCCACTCATTAATTTCCATCCAATACGGCCAAAGGGATTTGAACACCAAACATCTGAATGATTCCAGGTTGGAAAAAAATTGAGCAACTTGCTATGCGCAGATGATTATGGAAATATTGTTGAGGTACACAGATTTTCAACTTGTGAAATCCAATGGTGTTTTTATTTATGTATATATCTGATTTCATGTGGACTTACAACAAAACAGAATACGTTAAAAAAATTTAAGAGCCTTTTAAAACTTGACTCCTGGATATCTCCATGCTTTACCACAAATTTACTATTTCCACTTAGGAATTATGGGAGTTTGCAATCCAAACACCCCTGGAAAAAACTAAATAATAAAAAAATAATCTTAATGCAAATAATGCATTCGTTGTCTATGGAGATTCTCAGTCATCTAGATCACAGTTGTCCCAAAAGTGCCTTTTCAAGAGGTAACTGGACCTTCTTTGTTTTTCTTTGAAGACATTTTGCTTCTCATCCAAGAAGCTTCTTCTTCCTCAGAGCTGAACAAGCTTCATGGATGAGAAGCAAAACGTCTTCAAAGAAAAACAAAGAAGGTCCAGTTACCTCTTGAAAAAGCACTTTTGGGACAATGCAGTCATTGTTTGAGAGTCTGTGAGGAATCACTTACAGTTGCCCATTCTTCTCAGTGTAGAAACGGACTGACTTAATGGTTGCAACAACTACAACCATGCACAGTGTTACAGGCACAAACAGCATGATCACATGCTTTGCTCCATATTTTAAGGTCAACTCTTCTTCCTCATTATCCAGCACAATATGTCCTTTTGCTGCTCTTTCTGGATCAGGCTCATGTCCCTCTGCTTTATTGGAGCTGCCAGTGCTGCCAGTACGTCTATTCTGCAAGAACAATGAACAGAAAGAGTTAGCAACCGTTGTGCAGATCTGCTTTCCCAACAGAGTTCTTTCTGACTGCTTAATGCCTTCAAAAGCTCTCGCCAAAAGTGGTCATTTCAGACAGCTGGAAACTGAGAAAACTAAAATATTGTGCATTTATTACCTTTATTGTCAGAATACAACATGTGTACAATGAGATTGGCTGAGCCTCCCTTTGTGAAACCCCCCCCCCCCGCAAACAACTCAGTGAGGACAGAAGTCCCTAACCCAGATCCAGTGTTATTACCCTGTGTGACCTTGATGCACAACGCGCTGGCCCCACAAGTCTGTTATACTATGTTGACATGAAGTTATTTTCTGTTCAGAAGTCTGACAGTCCACTGGTAGAAACTGTTCTTCAGCCTGTTGGTGCGGCTGGCTATGTTTCTGTATCTCCTACCCGATGGTAGGAGAGTGAAGAAGTGCTGACCAGGGTGTGAATCGTCCCTGAGAATTTTCCTATTGTAGGAAACTGAGTAATAAAAGAGTCCAAAGTCCAAGAAGTTGCCATTTTCAGGGGCTAAGGAATATGCCCAGCAACCATAATGCCTCAGCTGACACAATGTGACAGAAGGATGCATGAAATAACCCAGTTCAATACTACCTTTTTTCCCCATCTTTTATCACCACAATCAAATTCTGAAAATACAATATGGATCCTTACAATTACATGACTGTACTTGCTAACTGCTAAAATCAGACAACTTCTCTCATGAATTGTAAAAACAAGAGCCTGTAGTAATTATACAGAATCTATATAAATATAGTTACTATATAGAATCTATAGAGTCTATAGCCAGTTAATCTAAGGCAGGACTAGAACTCATGGTCTCTTAACCATGAGTTCTAGTCCTGCCTTTGGCACAAAGCCAGCTTGGTGGCCTTGGGCCAGCCACTTTCTGTCGGCCAAGGAAGGAGACAATGGCAAATCACATCTGAGAAGAAAATTGAAGGAAGATTTACAAGAGAAGTCCAGGCAGTCTCAAAAAAATCAAACACAATTAAAAGAAAAAGAGAGAGAACACAATTGATGGCACACAGATATATTTCCTCAGTGAGAGCATATCTTCACTTGTGCAATCTTGCAATGTGAGGCTATGGTAGGAGTGAGGGTCTTTGGTTTATTAGCCATTGGCTGATTTTAAAAATAGTGAAGTCCTGGTGTAAGAAGGTGGCTGAGGCTCAAATACTTTAATACAGCCAGCCCGATGCTGGATGATTAATAGTCCTACTTGGTTAGTACATAGTCCAATATAGCTGTGATGGGGAAACAGCGGGAAAACTACCCTAATGTACTTGAACATCTGAAACTGCCAGTCTAGCCCTTTTGAAAGATACAAAAGAAGGACCCACAAAAAATGACCTCACACAGAGAACATGATCACCATTATATACTATAACTGGATGCTACTCAAAGAGCAGATTTCTTTTCTTTTAGCGCGTGGAAGACAAATCTGATTCTAACTAAATTTAGAAATTTCCTAATACGGTTCAGCATTAGAACTGCGTTGGGATATAGTGAATTCCCTTCGGCTTGACCTATTTAAGTAGAGGTTGAATAGCCATCAGTCAAGGACATTGTAACACGGGTAGGTACTGCATTGAGCAGGAAGTGATGTCCATTAGGGACCTTTTATGGGGCTCAGAGAAAACCTGATTTCATTTAAATGCCATTAAATTAATTTTCATTCATTAAACACAATGAATACTAATATCTCATATGGTATATATAAATGATTTTAGACTCTTTCCATCCTAAAGATTATTGAGCAACAACTTTTCGAGAGAGTCTAGTCCTAAGGTGACTAAACGACTTCTATAATCCCTGCCAATTCTAAGCAAAGCTGCACATTCCTTTCCGAAGACTCCTACCCTGTGGGAAAGTGTTTCCGCAACTTCAGATGCTTGTGTTTCATCGTGATAAGAAGGCAGAAGGGGACTTTCAGCTGACATCAATGATGTCCTTTCATTGCAAGGTTCTTCTTCACTGTCAGAATTGTTCATGAAGGCGATCATGCTTCCTTCTTCATGGAGAATCTTAATCACACTCCAGACGCTGTAGAAATAAGTAATGTAGAAGAGTAAAAGCAAAGCAAACTGCCCAGAATAATAACAAAATTAAAGAGTCTTCCAAAACGGATTTTTTTTTTCTGAAATAACTAATATTCCAGAACTATTAAAAATATTTCACCTTTATTTAAAGTTGATTTTTTTTTGATGCTATCGCATGTGGGTTTTTTTTTTTAAAGTATTGGAATCTAATTTTTAAAAGGCTAATACTGTTTTTCTAGGACTCTCAAAACCAATACCTTCTAGCTGACTTAGGTTACATTTTGGGTAATCCCAACCACTTATTTAATTGCCGCTAAATTTGAAGAGCATCAGGTTGGGAAAGGCTACTGTTGTATACCAATTCTACCCAACATAGAAACAGATTTAAATGCCGTATGTTACCAATAACACATCTTTATCTAATCTAGTCTCCCCCACAGAAGTGAAATATGCAGTGTATTTCTTTTTCAACTATACTACACAAACTTAGCTGTTTGTTTGAAACCTTCAAATTGGGCAAAATTGTACATCGTAGGGCAACAAATTTTGAATCAACATTCCTCAACTAGGCTAACTTAAATAATGCATCCAAAATCCAGGACCCATTACCTCCCTTGGGGTTGAAATTTGGCAAAGTTTTAGCAATGTTGTACTTAGCCACAGTGACCATCATTTCTAATGCTCCCTGCCAGCTTCCCACAAAGGTAATCAATGGGAAACGCAGCAGTAAATCAGAAGCTGTTACTGCTCTCACGGCTTTTTGGCTGTGGTTTCTCTGTTTAGGTATGGAACTGTCTCTGAAACAACCACCCAATGGTACATGAGTTTTCCAGTTACCCCTAAATGCAGTATACTGCATGCATAATTCATGCAAAATTGCATTCTTTTAAGACATTCTTTTCATGGTGCATTTCCCCTTTCCCCTTCTGAGTTACAGTATGTGAAAGTTATACACCATGAATGATACATATTAAACATATTAACTGAGCCATAGTGGTGCAGTGGTTAGAACATAATACTGCAGGCTAACTCACTGCTCACTCCAGGAGTTCAATTCTGAACGGCTCAAGGCTGACTCAGCCTTTTATCTTTCCAGGGTCGGTAAAATGAGGACCCAGATTGTTCAGAGCAATTTACTGACTCTGTAAACCCCATAGAGAGGGCTGTAAAGCACTATTAAGCAATACGTAAGTCTAAGTGCTACTGCTATTGATGTTAATATCAAAAAGACCCTCAAATGTGAAGAACAAAACAAGAAAGAATTAGCATGTATAGTCATACAAAACTCCTGAGAAAATCTGTTTTTGCTGCTCTACATTGTCCATAAGTATTGCCAACATATTGCAATGGAGTTTGAACAAGACAAATGTGCCATTCTCACATCAACAAGAGAAAAATAGTGAATATTGAAAGAATCAAGATGCCCTATGGAAATAACATCAAGAGTCTGGATAAAGATTATCATTACAAATACCTCAGCATCCTTCAGGCTGACAACATCAAGCAGACAGAAGTCAGGAAGAAGGTTAGAAGTGAATACATCATGAGAGTGTAGAAGAGTGTAGTATGTATGTACAGTTGAAATAATGACCTGGATTCAAGCAGAACTAAAGACTCTGGATAAGAAGATCAGGAAAATAATGATAATGAATCATGACCTTCATCCTCGCAGCAATGTTGTCAGACTGTACTTACCAAGGCAAATAGCTGGACATGGAAGTTGTAAGTACACAGACAGTGGGGGGAAAAGGACATTGGAAGAGTATCGAAGGTGAAGAAACAGTGGAGTACTTTGTTAGCTGTTGCAAGAAGATTCAACAGACTACCTACAAGTAACAGAATGATAAAGTAGCAATAATGATGCATTGGAATATCTGCAAGAAATACCACTAGCACTACTTGAATGCTGGCATTGATAAAATCATTATCGGTTAATTGCAAAAAGAAACCTTTGCTTGGAATAGCTTACATTCTGTGACAATACCACATCTTCATAAACAACTTAGATAAAGGGATGACACAAAGTCGGGGGAAATTTCTAAGACTTCAGAAATAGACACAAGAGTCGGAAAGATCTTGACAGACGTAAACATGGGTCCCTATCCACCTAGATGCAATTCAGTGGCAAAAAAATACAGTACAGTACAGTACAGGATAGGATCAACAGTAGTGCCTATGAGAGCATTCAAGGTGTCCTGGTGGACCATTGCTTAAAGATGAATCAGTAGCCAACTCAGTCCTGGGCTGCATTAATAGAGGTTAGTATCAAGATCAAGAGAAGTATAGTACCACTCTATACCAGATTGGTGAGGCCACATTTGGAATACTGTGTCTAGTTCTGGCCACCACAATACAATACAATAGATGCGATGTCCTACAAAGATTACAAAGAAGAGCAACAAAGATGATAAGATGTCTGGAAGCTATGACGAACAGCTGAAGGAATTAGATATGTTTAGTTTCATGAAGATAAGACTTAGATGAGACATACTAGCAGTCTTCTAATACTTGAAAGGCTGCCACAGGGAAGAGAACATTGATTTATTGTCTATAGTATTTGAGGATAGGAGAAGAAAAAAATGGGTGGAAGCTTGTCAGTGGGAGATCCAATCTGGAAATTCAGAGGAATTTCCTGACAGCAAGAACTATTAAGCAGTGGAACAGCGTGTTTCCCATAGTTGTGGGTGTTCCATTGCTGGAGGTTTCAAGAAATGTTTATACAAGTATTTATCCAAACTGGTATAAGGACTCTTGCCTTGAGCAAGAAACTGGACTAGTGGACCTCCAAGGTCCCTTCCACCATATGATTCGAACACCACCAAACAACATCTACTTATTCCAGGTCTTTGAGAAGAGTTCAATACGTCAGGGCTGTCAAACTCCTGGCCCTTGGGCTGGATGCATCAAACGTTGGCCACGCCTATGCCCAGGTTAGCGAAGGGGGAAAAAGTCCCAATATGTCAAGTGACACTGCCATGACGACGTGAGTTTGACACCTCTGCAATAGTGGATAAAAATGCAAAATCCGATCTAAATACCTGGCTGAATATGCAACCAACAATTATTATTTTATTTAGGCATTGCCTGATTCCAAGATACTCTGGAAGATATACATTTAAAAAAAGAATAAAAATAGGATACAATACTTTTTATTTGGGGGCGGGGGGAGAGAGAAAATATAGCCTAGCTCCAGGTTTGAACTGAAGAATTGTTCATAAGATATAGCAGATATCCGGTTCTACCAATGTACTTGCTTTTTCACCTGGTTCTGGTTAGCAACCTTTGAAATTCTAATAAAAGTAACACAACAGTAAAGTCTGAGTTATATTCATATACCTGATTTAAATCAGGTAGAAAAAAGTATTAGTGTGTATCACCAGAAGCCAAATTACTATTGAAAATATACTGGTCTGATAAAAATAAAAAAAAAGCATTTAGAGTGAACAGACCTGAGCAGATCTAGTGTATCTATTTAAAAATACTACAGATCTTCTCTGCTTGCAAAGATAAACCACATCCTTTCTCTGTAGAGGTATTTTCCATTGGCTTTAAATTCCAATATACAGGGGGCCTTTTCTGAGCCAAGAACAATGTCAAGCTTGAAAGAAAACTTTTTTTTAAAAAAAAAAGCAAAACTAATAAATGTGAATCTTATATTTAATTCATGTTTATTTTAAGTGGAAAGATAAAGCCTAATATCAACACCCAGAGATGCATATTTGAAAGTAAATATTATTACTTTCAACAAAGCTTATGCCATAGTTAGTGCACACAATTAAAGTACCTGCGTGGCTTGCAGTCAATGTGCCTGCCGGATTCCTTGTCCCACTTAATTTTGTACTTTCCCAAGAAACAAATCTAGTTAAAATGGGGAGATAACCTGTGGCAAATTTCAATATTATTACTATCCAGAATGCCTTGAGTCACAAATATGGCTTTACACCTTTCTTAATTTTATAGAAATGTTGTTTCCCAATGATGTTTGAAAATTTACCCACCTATTGAGAAATAGCATAACTGTAATATCCTTCAGAAAAGTAGGTAAAGGTAGCAGATAACACTCGAATTGGTGTTTGTTATTTCACATATGTCAGCCATTTTGTGAATTCAGGCTAGTTCCAGTAGTCTTTTGTTAATATATCCAAAACATGTGTCAAAATTCCAAATGTTGCCACTAATCGCCAAGGGATGAGGAACACTATTATACTGGCCTATTACCTGGAAGAAGTCCTTCCTATGATTCTGTCATCAGAAAACCATACCAGCATAAAGCCTGCTGTTTCCACTGTCAATCTGTATCCTGCTAAAGGAAGTGACCCACCTAATGATGTTGCCCTTATTTATTGTGTACAGGGCATATTAAGAAAATGGTGGATCCCCTGGCTTTGCTTTCCTCTCTCCTCAATAAATGTGACCAACTGGCCAGAAAATATCTACCAGTCATTCTCCTTAATCATGAATGGAACTGTAGAAGAAAGCAGAGTTTGACTAGACCTGTTCAGGCATCTTCAAAACTTCCTTAAAGCTTTGAGAAGCTCCAGACAATTGATTTCCAGGATGGAAGAGTAGGCAAAATACAAAAGCAGATGGGTTACTTCAGTGTTTGATTATTTGGTGAGTAAAGAGTTGTATTCCCCTCTGCCACTGCTTCTTCTTTTGGACCTTAAATTGTTATATTTGACTAGGGGGGCTGCATGGTGGGTACACACTGGGGCCTGTCATCAGACTATGTGATACCATTTCAGACAAGTTTTAAACATGGGTTTACTACTCTTCTGAAGGAGCACTGCACCTATGTTTTACCATAACTCAATTGACCAACCACATGGGAATGATTCCATAGTGCCATAGTCTTTCTTATTTCCAGGGCTTCTCATTTGTTAGTTGGTGTAATTCCTCTTTTAAAGTCAGTTCTGCAAGTTTGGGATCAGCTCAGGTATCTATTGAGTCAAGGGTTAGAGGTTTGAAGGACCCAGACACCCATACTACTGAAACCAGAATGGTCCTGGAAGAGAGGAGGCCTGCCTATATCAGTTATAGCAATGTTTTTTCAAACTTAGCAACTTTAAGATATATTGTATGGACTTCAGCTGCCAGAATTCCCAATCACACAATTACAATGAATACTAAATGATGAGCCTCATAACCTTTATTTTCAACCAGACTAATTTCTTGCAAAACTAATTGTATTTGATAATTGTTTCACACAATACAAATTCTTTACAGAGATGGCATCTCTTGGAAAGAATATGTGAACATATATTGCACATGTAACAGAATGTAACAGATCTATCTTGGGAAAGTATATACAGGAAACATCACTGAAAATTCTGCAGGGCAACAGCAATTAAGCTTTTTTTTCCACATTTCCCTGAATGAAAACCCACCATTTCCCCCAATAAAGCACATCTAGATATTTGATCTGGCTAAATAAGCTTTTCCCTACCCACTTCCTGCTTCTTCAGCCATACACCAAGGGAAACAAACTGAAGAAGTTTTAACTGCCCTTTTAACATTAAAACTGCTAATTGGGCAGTTATTCACTGGAGGCGGAGGAAAAGAAGGAGGTTTTAAGGCACCAGAATGGCTGCCGGGGTCACTTTGAGCAAAAGAGGGGATCTGACTACATATCCCCCATATATTTACTTTGAAAGCAGTCCATTCAATTCAGTTCAGAAGAGCTGGGAGGGACCTTAAGAGGCCTTCTAGTCCAACCCCCTGCTCAAGCAGAGACCTCATACCATTTCAGACAAGTGGCGGTTGTCCAGTCTCTTCTTAAAAGCCTCCAGTGATGACGCACCCACAACTTCTGAAGGCAAGCTGGTTAATTGTTCTGTTAGCAAGTTTCTCTTTACTAACAGTGAGAATTGCTTCCAGTCCGAGACTTCAGCTACTGTCACTTCCGAGGGCTTGCAGCCTTATAAGATCTCATCTACTTCCTAAGGCAGGCCCCCATTAAGGATGCTTGCAAGAGGAGCCATCTTCCTGAACGAAGACCCTTTCCTACCGAGATCGTACCGCATGCGCCCGAGAGGCGGCAACTTTGCACTGATTCAGGCAAGGTGCCGAAATGCAAAACGTCCCAAGCCAAGGTCTCCCAGAAACCGGCCCAGGAAGTAGATGCCTACGAAACAGGCCGGGCTGCTTTTCTAACGAAGCGCGCGCCCGGCAGCCGCTCCTAGGCATCTCTCACCTGAGTGCTTCAACGCTGTTCGCTGCCCGGGAGCGATTCCGCTGGCATGCAAATCCCGGATTGTTGGGGCTCGTTGCTTACCAATTTCTCCCTACGGAAACCGCGACAACTTGACGCCCTTCATTAGTTTCAGCACGACCTATTTCGGAAGGGTGAGTTTTGATGAGCACAGCGTATTATTGCTCCAGCCGGCTGTCACTCAGGAAAACGCCTCCTTTAAGCAATTCCTCATCCAATGAAGAAGAACGGCCGGAGGAGCAATTTGCCAATGGAGAACGAGCGCTCTCAAGCAGAAGCAGAAAGGGAGACCGGGATTAAATCAAGCCGGGAGGATCAGCGGCTTGGAGGTTTTGCTGCGATGGAGGAAAATCCTTTTTTTTTTTTTTGCTGCAGTACTTAAAAAGCTGGAAGAATTGCGATATTCCCCTTTTGCGGTTCTTAAAACAGTAGCTTGTTACTACGTGTGTACTTTTGAGATTTTGTGTAATTATCTGTCATATTTGCTTTGTTAAACTCATCTGATACTAGGGTACCATTAAATATGACTAATGCAGTGTGCAAATATGGAGTTACTAATATATGAAATATTGTATGGCTGAGCTGAATACTGAAAGGAAAGGAAGGAAATCGGTAGAGGGTTTCTTGTGATATTACCTTATTTGGCAGAGATGTTCATTAACAGTCCAAAATAAAAAAAGTTACATAGTTATTCAGCTTGTGTGATTTTGATTCCAGGCAGCATATATCAATATTATGTTTCAGCCAAATCCTAAACCCTGAAAAAAATTACACGTTGTTGAAGAAAGTTATCCCTACTCTTTTTCATACCAAATATACTCAGTTACAGCAAAAGTTTTTAACTGATGATAAAATGGATATTTGATTTCAGTTCTTTATCTGCCCTAAAATGAAATATTTTCAGCTGTGCAATTTTTGCTTTTGTTTTTTTCAGGAAAAAAAAATATGGCAGCTTAGAACTTTTTCTATTTTTAACTGATGCTTAAATGTTTGCAAGCTACCATATGTTAAACATCTGACCCTAGAGGAAACTTAATTACTGTTTCTAGTGATTCTGATTTGTATTGCTGAGTATCTTGGGAGAATATACTGTTGACGTGAATCCAGAATATTTGACTTAACATCTTAACAACTTCATTTGCAGAGCAGGAAATGTCAAGGCAGGAATGAGGATCTGGTGGCAAGTACAGGAGTGTGTTTTGCCTTTGCTATATGTTTACTTTTTTAAAATCTGCATAGCTTCTATGCATACATATAGGTAATCCTTGACTTACAAACTATTCAGTGACCATATGAAGTTACAATTGCACTAAAAGGGTGTTATAGCCATTTTGGACACTTAGGACCGTTGCAGCATTCTCATGGTTACATCAGGCATGTCAAACTCATGTCATCACGGCGTGATTTATCGGAACTTTTTCCCCCTTTGCTAAACTGGGTGTGGGCATGGCCAGCGCATGACACATCCAGCCCATGGGCCACAATTTTGACAGCCCTGGGTTACATGATCAAAATTTGGATGTTTGGCAACTGACATGTATTTATGATAGTTGTAGTGTCCCAGGATCATGTGATTTTGCAACTTTCTGACAAGCAAAGTCAATGGGGAAGCCACATTCTCTTAACAACCATGTTGCTAATCTTAACAGACATGTTACTAATTTAACAACTGCAGTGATTCACTTAACAACTGTCATAAAATGGACAACATTCAACAACTGTTTTGTTTAGCAACAAAAAAATTGAGCTAAATTATGATCAAGGAATACCTGTAGTTTCTGCTTATATTTCCCTTTTTATTAGAGAGCCAGACTAGAAACCAGGTGACTCAGTTCTAATCCCACTTTAGGCCAGATGAGTGACTTTGTGCCAGTTTCTCTCTCAGCCCAACCTGCTTCACAGGTTTATTATTGTGGGGAAAATAGGACAAGGAAGGAATATTAGGTATGTTCACTATCTTGAGTTATTTATAAAAGTACTAAAAGTGGGAAATAAATAGCTACTCAGATTCCAAGTGGCTTGCTTCTGAACTTCTTCACCAATCTATAAAATTCTGCTATATAGTTAGATGAGCATCACAGATTGGACCAAGCTAAACAAAAAAGATCATTTGGCTTTAGCTTAGTCTGCTGTATCAGTTACTATGATCTGTAAACCATGAATTATGGCTTGCAGTCTATTGTTTAAGATTGTGAATCGAATTGAGAAGTGTTCAAGAAATTGTGGCTAAGCAAAAGATAGTTATTGGTTTGCAATTAACTAAGATTGATATCAAAACCTTGGTCTATGATTATATTAATGTGCCTTCTCATTAAAACCATCTTTAGTGGTATCAGCAAGTTTTCTATTTCTAGGCTTTTATACAGGCCTAAAGACCAATTTATTCTCAGTAATTTTTCTTTTTGTTTAATTAGCTGAGGATTTGATTGTATTGTGTGCTAAATTTCAATGTTATTTGATATGAATGCTTGTATTGGTGGTTTATATTAAGTATAATTGGTATTATAATGCTTTTTGGAAGGAACTTTTAAAATATATAGTATTCCCCTCTTACAAAGTCCTATCACATTAAGGACAAAGAGTATTCATTAGCCATGGAACACCGAGCAATTGTTGGAAAAAAGAATAAAAGGAACTTGCAATGAAGTATTTTGGAAGATATTATATGTGGCACATGGGAACACTGAATAGTACACTAGTATGTTACATTTTATTAAACTGTTGGATATCAAACTCTTTGTTGAAGCAGTTCTGAGTTCAGGGAAAATGTAGATTATTGGCCTCAGTGAATGGAATGCACATTTCTCTATAATACTTCTAGCAAAAACAGTTGGCATATTACTTCCTTATCTGCTTTTCTATTGTAGTAGATAATCTTTGAAGTAGATAATCTTTGTAATAGATAATCTTTGAAGTGATATGTTTAAAAGTGGGAATCTATTGCAGCTTTTTAATAAAAAAACATTTCTGATTAATGGTTGGAGAAAATTTTATCATCTGAGTAATAGCTGTACAAGCTAGGAAAATTCAAAGCTTTAAAGAGTTGCAGACATGCCTGTTGCCCTTGAATCTGAAGGTCTGCACAATCCTAATATATACAATAACTCTTTCATATATTTGTTACATTTATTGCCTGCCTGGCCTCAGAGAGCTAAAGGCAGTGTATATTGTCCTTCTTCCTCTTTGTGAAGGATGGATTGAGTTACGATAGTGGCTAGCCTAAAGGTTGAGAATGGACTCGAATTTGACAGTTCCTGGATATGGTCCAGTATCTTAAGCCAGGGCTTCTCAAAGTTTGCAGTGTCATGACCACCTCTGATTTGTAAATTAATTGTGTGTCTTCCTTCTCTCCACGAATAAAATTATTTTCTTTGCATTGAATTTGGGCAGGAACACATAAAGTCATGTGAATCATTCAGTTGGAAGAAGCTCAGAAGTCATCTAACCCAACTGTGTGCTTGGTACAAGACAGAACCCTGCAACTTTAGAAAGCTTATTTTCTTTGGAAATAATCATCAAATTGAAAACCATATGGCAAGGATGAGCTTGCTTAGTTTTAATAATTCTTGAATTCTGAGTTTTACTTCCAAGAAAGCCATTTTCACTTCTCATTACTTCTTTATTTTTTATTTATAATTGTTTACCGAGACAGAATAGGAAGAGTGATCCAACTGTGGTGCACATCCATGTGACTTGAACAGGCATAGGCAAAAGCTTGTTAAATCATACTCCAAAGTGTACTGTATACCTAGTAACTACTTTGGCCTTAACCAGTACCCTACACTGGTTATTCATAATCTATTTGCCATATATTCCCCGTAGCACCAACATGCTGAATTTAAGGGTTCTCTGTTCCAATATATAAGAGCACTTATATTTTTATAAAATGGCATCGAGACCCTATTGAGGAGGTTGAAGTATGATAGATAGGGAGGGATGCCTTTCTGAAACCAAGTAGAATTTCCATGAAACAAAACAATATGCCTTGGAATAAATATTAAAACATATATATTAAAGGAGATAAACTAAGTATAAACTTGAACATGTATAACACCTGGTGGAACCTACATCCAGTTAAGGCTACAGTCTTGTACAGCTTGCAGTAAGTTGTAATGAAATCAGTAGAACCAGATTCGATTTTTATAGAAGAAGCATTCTTTGTGTTTTCTAACTGGTAACTCCTGTTTTTAAATTAAGATTAAAAATAAACCTTGTGATTTCGGCATTGAACCAGTTTTCTCACTAAAAAGCCAGCTGAACACTCTTTGGGGTCACATTTGGAAAAGTTCAGTTTAATTACTTTATGGATATTAAAGATCTTGAAAACAATGAGCTTAATGTAACACCTGGTGAGTTTTGCTTTCTTTTGATTTTAAAAAAATTAAACAGTAATTTAAGTCTTTAAAATACTGTAATAATTGACAAAACAATTCAATTAAGTTTTAATAGATGTAGAGACCAGATAAATTTGGAATATTTTGCCATAGTATATAAGTGTATAATTAAGTAACATACTTGTGTGATATGACTCAAACAGAACTAAACGCGAATGAAGAACTGAGGCATGGAAGTTGCAAATAGACACTGGAGGGGAACTAAAGAACCAGGCAGAAGCTGACTATGATTTTTGCTTACCCTAAAAAAGTTTTCAACTGGACTGTGATATTAATATTTATGATATATAAACTAATATCTCAGAAAGAATACATATTTCAATGGATAAATATTTACAAAATTGATGAAAAAAACCTTTACCTGACAGACATTATAGAGTTTGAAGGCATAGTAGGTAGCATAATTGAGATTGTCAAAATGAGAATACAAAAGACATATCAAAAAAAGGATCTCAACATGGAACAGCTGTGATAAGTACCAGTAATTGGTAATTCTGGCCAATGCCTCTTTATGGGATTTACGAAGTACACTACCGAAAGCCTTGAAGACCACTCTTGAACATCAAAAATTGATGAAAGATCAAATCCTGTGATGCTATTAAAATAATGTAAAGGTTAAGATAGAGAAGCATACAAAGAAGGACTATATTGGACTATTTGATCAGGGATAAATTATTTGTTTGATATTTCTGGTAACTCCTAATGGATTTTTTGCATGGACTGAAAAGAGGATTATTTCTGAAGTGTATATAGATAAAACTAATATTTTATTATATGTTCTATAAAATCTAAAGAAAGAATTGTTTTATATATACTTTTAAGAAGGGCAAAACATCATATTAGCTTATGCTCCATGTGATGCTGCTTATTGTCTTTGTTGCCCCTTTTTCTATTCTTTTTTTACTTTTTTCTGTTCTATTGAGCAATAGCAATAGCACTTAGATTTATCTACTGCTTCACAGTGCTTTAAAGCCCTCTCTAAGTAGTTTCCAGAATCAGCATATTGCCCCCAAGAATTTGGGCCCTCATTTTACCCACCTTGGAAGGATGGAAGGCTGAGTCAGCCTTGTGCTTGGTGAGATTTGAACTACCAAACTGAGGCAGCCAGCAATCAGCAGAAGTAGCCTGCAATACTGCACTCTAATCACTGTGCCACCGTGGCTATTTAATTTGTATTGGCTTTTACTAGGTTTATTAACAACTTCAATAAAATTATTTTACAACAGAATAATCATTCCTTTCTCTTTCTCTCCCCA